AAGAAATATATAGTCGTCGTAGTATGTCTATTAACCATACTACGACGACTATATATTTCTTCTGCTAAAATTATTATATGTAGCTAAATAAATAATACCACAGTGTTTGACCAAGCCCCATGAGGCTGGGTCGATCGGATCGGAGAGGAGCCAGCTGTCGTGGCAGAGCAGCAATGATTCCTGGGGATGGCAGGACAATTGGTCTTGGGGCCAGGGTTGGGACAGTTGGGCTTCCAATTCCTGGTACCCAACATCTTGGAGTGCTGCTAGCTGGGATGATTGGAGCTCTTGGCCTGCAGATAGCCGGGAACATGATGCCAAGCAGGACGGGACCGAGGCTGACAGGGTTCAGGCTATTTTAAAAAGGGGCCACACCGTTGATCAGCTATCGAATGAAGACTTGTTGCTTATCGTGAAGCACATTGACAGCAAGCAGCAGCCAGAGCAGAAAGTGCAGCCGCAGAAGCAAGCATCAGCAGAAGAAGCAGAATCGAAGAAGGAAGGGGAAGAGCAGCAGGAGGAGAAGAAGGACGATGATCATGATGCTTCGAAGATTAAAGAATCAAAAGCTGATAGGCGCAAGCGCCTGCATGCCCGCAACATGCGGTACTATCGCAGCCTGGAAAGTGGCTTGATTGCAAATTCCAGAGATGATGCCCCTAATAACCCTAAACCCTATAATGAACCCTAAACCCTAATTTCGATTCCCACTGCAGGTCCCAACACGCCACGTGAGATCCGGAGAATGGCAAACAAGGCCAAGGGCTCCTCGACCTCGAGGTCTGTGATGTACGAAGATTGGCTGCAGTCTGGGGAAGACTGGCGGCAAAGCAAGCTTATGTCTCGCCTTAAGAACCGGTCTGCCACTGCAAAGAAAGGCTGCAGGAAGTGGCTCTTCTACGACGAGATGGTTCAACGATTCGGTGAAAAGCTAGCCACTATTTTGAAGGAAACCAAGGAGGCTGATGAAGAAAAAGCCGCAAACGAAATCCGGAAGTGGCCGGAGTGTGAGGTGGCTTGTTTATAATTAAATGGCACAACCCTAAACCCCAAACCCCAAACCCTAAACCCTTATTATAAACCCTGAACCCCAAACCTTAAATCATAAACCCAAATAAATAATAAACCCTAAACCTTAGAACCTATAACTCTATGCACCATGAAACCCTGAACCCTAATTATAATTACCCTAAACGGTTGAGGGTGTAGGGTTTAGGGTTTATTCTAATATATATATATATGTAGCTATACGGTTTGCACAACACAAAAACCCTAATTATAATAATAACCCCAAGAAACCACCAACAACAGCACCCCCAGCAGCAGGACTACCTCCAGTACAAGTGCCTCGTGGATGCAAGCGAGGACGATGTGGATGAAGAGGAGTTTGAGGTGATCATGGATGCCTCCCTGAGCGACTCCAGTGAGTCGTCTGACTCAGGGGCCAAGGCAAAGAAGAAGAAGAAGTCAAAGAAGAGCAAAAAATCCAAGAAGAACAAGAAAAGCTCCAGCCCCAGCCCCAATAAGAAGAAGCCCAAGGGAAAAGCAAAGGCAAAGGCGAAAGGAAAGGCCAAGGTGGGGACTTTATATGTAGGGTATGAATTTATTTGTTCTGTTGCACTCTACATGTATGGGGTTAACTATATGTAAAAAAACGGATATAACCCTGAAGCTATATATTAGGGGCAACATCTAGCCAGGTTTGGGAAAGAAGATCGATATGTGTTCTAAGGTTCGATTTAAACCATAATAATAATTAATCTTGCTAAACCCCTGCTGCTACAGGCCCTCAGTCCTGAAGAAGCGGAAGCCCAAAAGGCTTTGCAGGAGAGGAAGACGAAAGCGAACAAGGCATCTGATGTGCATGCAACTGCTCTGTTCGCCTAATCATTTCTTGTAGCTAGGCCTTGGGAAAAGCAACAGAGAGGATCAAGGCTGCGACGAAGCTTCAGGATGAGAAGACTGTCGAAGGGATGTCAGGTCCTTATATACGTGATCGATGTTATAATTGCATGTATTGTTGCTGTCAATCGCACACGTATAATTATAACTCTGAGGGGTGAGCATCTGCTGACCGCTTGGAAGCGTGACTTCGCCGCGGAGGCCACTAGTACTTACTTGCGGCTGGGTTTCGATTCCATGTCAGCTTCGCAACATCCAGGCAGAGAAGCTGAAGGAAGCGCGCAGCAAGCTCCAGGGCGCAGTGGATCGGGATGCAGAGGCGGCAAGCGTAGCTATAGCCTTGGATTAAATGTCGGGGTTTAGGGTTTATAAGGGTTTAGGGTTTAGGGTTTTAGGGTTTAGGCTTTAGGGTTTATAATTATGGGTTCAGAATATAGGGCTTATAGGGTTTAGGGTTTGAGCTGTTCGATGCCTCTTGGTGATTTTCCTCTGCAATAGGTGCCGAGAAGCCCCAACCAAAATTTAGGATATGTAATAAGTTCCTTCATGGCTTCTGCCTAGGATTTAGGCTTGGGTGAATGGGTTTATGGGCTCCTTTATGGGTTCTAGGGTTCTTGCTAGGTGGGAAGGGAAAATTCCTGTAATCCATAAACCATATTATCCTTAACCCCTAGTTATACTCATTATCCTAAAACCCCAAGCCCCTGAGCCCTACAACCTCGAGAATCCTGAACCCCCGAATCCCCGGAACCCCCAAAATCCTAAAACCTGCTGCATACAACCCACAAAACCCTAAACCCCTATTTATCTTCAACTCCCTCATCCCCAACAAAGAATAACCCATACCTGGTGTTTATTAGATCCTTCGCAGGCTGAAAGCATGGATGAGCTGCTGGCGGCCCTGACAAAAGTGTGTGATGACTTCGATAAACTCCAAAAGAAGTTCCAGAATCGTGCAAAAACCAAGGACAAGAGTGCCGTTCCGAAAAGCAAGGCTGCAGGCAAGAAGTGATTAAGCTTATTTCCGGGCTATTTAATTTACATGCATGGGCTCACTGATATATCGATCACTGATCCTGTGGATCTGCTGCCTTTGCCGAGTGCACCCTCAGGGTGCCATTTTGATGTGGGCCAGGGACAACCTTGGCCTCTAGATCGCACTTGTGCCTACATGCAGCACCGGCTCCGGATCGTCTTAGTGGGATACATCGGATGTTTTTTTCGGCTATATGCTTCGTAGTGCCCCAACAAAACAAAAATTCGCCCCCTAAAAATAATATCAACCCTTATAATAATTTAGTTTATAAACTTGAAACACTATATATATAAACCCGAACCCCTAAACCCCTAAGAATGCTATAATCACCTCTTTTAAACTTGGAAGTGCCTGATCAAAAACAATCGCCAACAAAAGACCCTAAACCCCACAACCCCTATACCCTGAACCAACCCTTATAAACCCCTAAAAATGATAATTTAAGATTCGAAGTGCCCGATCAAAGAAGATCGCCAACCCAAAAAAACAGAACCCCTAAACCCTAGACCCTTATATAGTCCCGAACCCTAAACCTAAACCCCTAATCCCCTAAAAATACATCCCTGCCAATGTCCAGATTACATATATAGGTCGTATACCTCCCCTACACGGACACCCTAACCAGGTCCCTAAATGCCGGGTGCCGCAGGCAGAAGCCAGCTGCAGGTGCGGTAGCATGCGTCTGTGGAAGCGCACACACCTTGGATAAGGATAGTCTGATCTGTGCTCTAGCTACATATATTTAAAACTACACCGGTGTGTGTGGGGGCTGGATGGATGCTTCAGCTTAGATGTAGCTGGCCATAGGCCTTGCTGCATGAGTGCCATGTGCGTTTTAGGCTCTTGGGAAACAAGGGTGCCGATGTCGGAAAGCATATGTACATGTGTGTCAGCCGGCTTGATCACCTGCAGGTGCTGCTGTGGAAAAATTGCAATGATCTGTCGTGCCTGCATATATTATTAAAAGGATGTGCAACCAGCAACATGTACATTAAAATTAGAGTGCTTGACGTACATATTATATATGTATGTATGTATGTATGTGTGTGTGTATGTATGTATGTATGTATGTATGTATGTATGTATGTATGTATGTATACATATATGTGCATGCATGGCACATGTGTGATCTAGATTATTATTGGGTTGAGGGTGTGCTGAGGGTTGAGGCTTGGGACCGAATGTAATAAAGGCAAATACCCCTAAACCCCTTAAGCCCTAAGACCTGTAATAGTAAACCCCGTAAAACCGTAAAACCGCAAAACCTACTTTTAACCCCTAAGCCCTGAACCCCTAAACCCTAAACCCCCAAACCCAAAACCCCAAACCCTAAACCCCAAACCCTAAACCCTAAACCCCAAACCCCAAAACCCTAAAACCCAAACCCCAAAACCCCAAACCCTAAACCCTAAACCCCAAGCGCCAAACTCCTATCCCTAAAACCTAAACCTAAACCCAGACCTGCAGAGCCTATATATATATTTGGGCCCCGACAGGGCTTCGGAAGTAGCGGGTTGCTCAAGAGGCTCCTTCAAGGGGTCCTTCAAGGGCTCCTTAAAGGGATCTTTGGGGCTTAGGGGCTCAAGGCTTAGCGGGATGTTATCACATGCTCTTCGGCCCACAACCCCAATTTATCCTGAAACCTAGCTGGTGTAAGCTGCATAGCAGCCTAGTTTTATGATTCACCCCCAATTCGATGAAAATGATACATTACCACCCTCACCCCACATGAAGACCCCATGGCCTGAATGTATGGTCTCATCCTAAAACATGCAACTTGTTTGTAGTGCCCCCTGTCGCAATTGCAATTGTATGTATCCTGCAAGTACCCTGAATACCCTGATGAGAAACCCCGTGCACCCGAAAACCCGCATACACACCAATGCCAGGGTCCAGCAATGCAGCATGCAGCAGCCAGCAGCGTGGTCGAAGCACCTAGGATGTGGCAGTCCATTTCGACACATGCCAGGTTCAGAGAATGATGGTGATGCTGCCAATGGCCTGCTGCAGAACATCCTGGAGCGGGTATCCAATGGGGACTCGTGTCAGCAATCAAAAATCCCGGACCTCCAAAACCCGATAAACCGCAACGCAACCCTAGACCCCTAAACCCAGCAATATAAGCCGAAGTGCTTGCAGCATCCAGTGTGGCAGTCGTCGCAGCATATGTCCTCAGGCTGATACGATTGGATCTGCATTGGAGAATGCTCGTGCAAGCTACGAGGAAGGGGACCGAAGCTTGTTCCATTGTCGGCAATTAAATTACTATATGTTGCAATATGTACTGTCATGCAGGAGTCTGGCCGGCAATTCAAGGGCAAGACTATGTCTAGATTGATGCAATATCGACCTGGCAACGATGCACGGGAGTTCTTCAAGCAAGTGCGTTTGCCTCTGGAACCCGGGACAGGAGTCTAAAGTACATTTTTTGTGGTGTCAATTATAATTTAAAGGGGACGGGGTTATTGTAGCACAACCCTCCTGACCTACATAAGCCCATAGCCCAAGGTACCAACGGAAGTACAAGTGACAGTGTACGAGGGTTTCGAAGGAGACCGAAGGCAGGTCCAAACGACGATTCCGGTGCTGGATCCTCATGAGCTTTTGGATTACCTTCAGACAGAACTTAAAATCCAATGTCCCCTTGACAAAGCCCGCGCATACTGGAAGCATCTGCGTGATCATGACAATCCCTTTGCAAAGAACTTTCCTGGGTCCTCAGATCACATACCATTCACATTGTATGGGGATGAGCTCACACTGGGCAAAGATCCGAAGGACAAAGTGACAGGCTTGTTTTTGCAGCTTACATTGTTTAAGCCAAAGGCTGTGCGTCAAGGCATGTGGCTGCTCTGTGCAATTCAGGATGCTTGTATGGTACACGACAATATGACGACCTTGCGCCCGATCCTTGAACATATCGTGTGGAGCTGCAACCAGGCTTATGCGGGGCGGTATCCTCATGTGTCATCAGATGGCTCCCCTTTGCAGGGAGTGAAAGCCGAAAAGGCGGGGCTGGAATTTTTCGGGGGTACTCGCTGGGCATGTGCTGAACTACGTGGTGACTGGAAGTGGCATGAGCGCACGCTGCGATTGTTGCGGACCCCTGTATCGAAGAAGTGTTGCTTCCTGTGTGACGCCCGAGCAGACGACACTCGGCTTCGCTACTATGACCTGGCAGACAGCGCTGCTTGGCGAAATGCACAGCTAGACACGGATGGTTTTCTTGGCTCTGCTCTTCGCCCTGGAGCCCCAAGCATCCTGGCCATTTTTGATGTTTTGGCTGAATAATTTTTAAATTGCTTTAGAAACTAAATATAAAGCCTGGGAAACCCAGCCTTGAATCCTGAATATCCACAGGCCCCCTGACTGGTCTGGTGGGCTTCGATATCTCCATCATCAAGTTCTGCAGTATGCATGTTTGTAATCTTGGCTTGGTGCACACAGCAAGCGGTGGGGCACTGTGCCCAAGTCTTTTCAAGATGTATTTTTTGGCTTTCGTTTTTAATCTAGAACGGAAATTCTGCTACTACACTTTCGTTTGTTGTGCCCTTATTTTCTTCTATATGCTACCTCCCAGGGAAGCTTTGCTGCGTGAGCAGCACTTCGGGCCCTATGCTGGACCTGCAGATATGAAGACCTGCCTCGAGACAGCATTCAATGAGTTCCAGTCTTGGCGCCGACAGCATTCAATATCATGCAGCCAGCGGAGCTTTGCACCCCGACATTTGCTGAAACAAGTTCATGGATATTACTTGACAACGAAGGCCTATAATGCAAGGATTGTCCTGTTGTGGTTGGCCTTCAAGTGTGAACAAGTGGCTCAGAATGTTCCTGCGACTTCACATATTCCGTTGCATGCCACTGCACTGCAACTCTGCTGATCCTAGAAGGCCACGACCCTATAATCGACCCTAATGAACTTGTTGATCGAAGTCCCTGATTGCATACAAGCCCTGCCAAAGGATCCTGCAAAAAACCCTCCCAATCATAATGTGTGTATAGGGTTTAGGGGTTTAGGGTGCTTAATCCAATGTAGGGTTTGAGGGATAATAATAATGTAGTCCAGGGATCTGCAGCTGAGGACGGCTTTCTCCAACTGGTTCAGCTGCAACGAGGCAGCCAAGCGATACCCGCAGCTTCTATGGCAAAGATCAGGGCTTTCATGTGTGCATGAGCTTTTTATTTCTGCTGATAAATAATGTGTGGCCTGGATATACTGAGGACACGGGCACAGAACGATGAAATTTATGCCAATGGCATGCTCTTTCTGAAGTGCCATCTGCGACTCAGCAAGATTTCGCATCGGTTCC